AAGCCAGGACGGAACAAACGGCCTTCACCGACTGGTGAGTTCTCCCAAAAGGTACACCAGTTCGGCCTCATACCTCCTCACCTGACACTGACTTCTACTGCGTCCAGCTACGAATGGCATCGTAATCGCGACTGAGAAGAAATCGTCGTCCATACTCATGGACACGTCGATGATCGATAAAGTTTGCATGATCTGTCCAAATATCGGGATTGTCTACTCCGGAATGGGACCAGACTATCGGGTGAGTAGAACAGACTAGTCCTGCCGTCGGATTGATTTATCCATCTACATCCACATCTCATTGTTGGATCTCTGTATACATGGCCTCAACTGACCCGAGTCTATGCTGAGATAGGTTCTAGTCTCGAAGGCACGCAAGACTGCACAGGCCTACTGGAAAGTGTATGGAGAGTATCCACCGACGCGTGTGCTCGTGCAAGAACTGGCCACTGTTATGCAACAGGCTACTCAGTCAGGGTATGTACCCTACTCTTCTCACCTGTCAAATTCCACATTTATTCACGGTGAATTTTCGTTTTTATTCGTGTAATTTTTGCCCTGGGTTAGTGGTGTACGGCCATATGGTGTCTCTCTATTGGTGGCTGGCTGGGACATTAACCGGGGTCCAACACTTTATCAAGTGGACCCTTCAGGGTCATTCTGGGCGTGGAAGGCATCAGCTATAGGAAAGAACATGATCAACGCCAAAACATTTCTAGAAAAACGATACAACGATGACATCTCACTGGAAGACGCCATTCATACCGCCTTGCTCACTCTCAAAGAGGGCTTCGAAGGTCAGATGACGGAAAAGACGATTGAGCTTGGAGTGATTACCGTTCCATCGCCCGAAGAGTTGGCCAGTGCGGGTGCTGTGGAGAATGCAGGTACCACCAGACCGAAGCCTACGTTCAGGAAGCTCACGGAGGAAGAAGTACGAGACTATCTAGCTATGTAACGTCTCCCTATTTTTGTATCGTATCGGCACGACCACATGTGAAAGTAAAGGCGTTTTTTTGTTCCACCCCAGTGGCTCCAAGGGTCGTTTGGACTCAAATGAATTTCTCCACCGAACCACACCCCACTGATAACATGCCGGAATAATTCTCTTCAATTTCATAACAATACTACCGTACAGATCATGTTTCAATGATTACACTTTAAGCATGAAGGCCGATGTTCCCTCTTTCTTTTAGGCGGGGTTCTTGGTGAAGCGGAGGTAGGGCTGTGCGAAGAATATATGGTCAGTGATTGTTATCTCTTGTGAGGACACTCTTGGAATGTTCCACATACCAAAGGCGCAGTGTGATCTGGGAACAGCTCCTTGGCTTGCTGTTCATTAAGCGATGCGTGGACGATGACATCGTCACCTTTGTTCCAGTTGACGGGAGTGACAACCTAGGGTGTAATGGGTGAGTGGTTGTTCTATACCGAAAGACCGAACGCGAGGATGTCTTTCGGAGACTGGATGCTAACCTTGTGCCTGTCACCCAATTGCAGAGAATCAATGACACGCAAGATTTCGTCAAAGTTCCTTCCAGTCTGAGCGGGATAGGAGAGAGTGAGGCGGATGATCTTCTTGGGGTCGACGACGAAAACCGTGCGGACGGTGAATGGGATTCCCTTGGCATCTACGTTGGTAGCATCAACTGCGTCAAGCATGTCGTACAAGGTCGAGATCTTTCGGTCCGCATCGGCTATCTGGAGGATGGTTGCGAAGATAAGATTAGATCTCGCTCGACATCTAGGCGAAGTGAGGAGAGGCTGAGACTCACGATGGGGAACTGGACGTCAGTTGGGCCGATGGAGGCTCCAACTTTGTTGATATCTTTAATCCACTCCTGATGGGATTCGAGCCCGTTGGCGGACAAGCCGATCAACTTGACACCCCTAGCGGCGAAGTCGGGAGCTCGCCTGGCCACTTCTCCGAGCTCAGTCGTGCATACAGGTGTGAAATCAGCCGGGTGGGAGAAGAGAATAGCCCAGGAATCGCCAATCCACTCATGGAACTTGATGGGACCGGCAGTGGTCTGAGCCTCAAAGTCGGGCGCGATAGAACCAAGACGAAGAGCAGCAGGCATGGTTGCAGATGGAGCAATTTTTGGGGTGGTTTATTGGAGTTTGGTAATGGGATGAGTGGCTAGGGTGGCTCACTCAGCGTCGGCTTATGTAGCAGCGAGCGCAGAGATCACGCCATCGTGCACGCCATTCAACGCAAGCTGATGAAGACATTCTAGTGGTCGGCAATGTCTTCGCGCTCGCGTAGGGCAGCGCGTAGCGTACAGTCGCTCATAGATTATCGTAGATAGCGGTCAAGTGTATTGTGTTTCTGGCTCAGCAGCCCTAGGCTATTCATCGGAGCGAACTAGTCAATGAAGATCATGATCACACAGGCTGGAAACATTATTTCAGGATTATCATGGCAATTTTTGGAGGTATGAGGCCGAACTGGTGTACCTTTTGGGAGAACTCACCAGTCGGTGAAGGCCGTTTGTTCCGTCCTGGCTT